GGTAGGGTATAGATAACTGGCAATCTACATACATCTGGTACCATAATATAATGCTTCTTTTTTATTCAGTACCTTAGTGTCCTTTCCTTTCTTGACTAATGCAACGAGATCCTTTTTAAATTGACTCGTCGGATCTTTTGATAAGGGGAGATATGTATTGGTGTCACCTAATTGTGACTCCAATTCTTTTTCATAATACTCCCTAGAGAGTATCACAATACTCCCCCCTTTATCAGCAGGTCTGATAACTATATTTTCCCCTTTTGGACAGTCGCTTCTGTCCAATATATAATGCTTTATTTTGCCTCATTTTACCAAGATCAAGTTTTTTTCATGTCACTAATAACCATTTTCTTAAAAAACCTCTAACTGATTATTATTAGTTACTTGAGGATTGAATAGGGATTTATTCCTTAATCCCGTATGGGCAAAGACATCACTACTTGCATTAGATATCACATTCTTAGCTCCTGGCTGACTATGGAAATATTTCTTGATGTTAAGTTTTCTCACATATTTGAGGGTATCTATATACATATTAAAACCATTTGCAGTTACGGGGGGGGCATATTTAAGGCCTTTGTCTAACACTAAAGTTCTTCAGTAGTAAGTGTGACTGGGCTGAGGTTGAACACTCCTTCCCCTATAACTCTCTTTTTCTTTTTGGCCTTCCAACCCCCTCTGCATCCCCTCCTCTGTCGAAGCTTCTCCGAACTGGGCTGAGAAAGGTTCTGCCCCTCTCTAAAAAACCTTCATTCTGTTGGAGCTCATTATGTTGTGTTCTCAAAGGTTCATATCTATTGTGAGTAGATACAGGGCTACTAGTATAGGGATGATGATAATCCTTATAGCCATAGTGTGGAACGGGGCTTCTGCCATATGAGGGCCCAGGGCTTCTGCCTTGTACAGGACCATAGTATGGCCGTGATGGAGCTTCATATGGATAATGGTATATATCTCTGGGGCATATTATCCCGTCTAGCGTAATTCTGATGGGGTTGTTGATGATAATTTCCCCTGTGTGTGATTAGCGTTTTTCCATTGTTTCCCCTTTTTAAAAAAGGCTTTTTCTTAGGCTGTCCCCCACTACGTGGTTGCCAGCCTTTTTTAGGGGAATGGTTCATAGGATGAGAATAATAGGGAGATTTTGAACCATAATCAGAAGGTTTAAATGGTCCAGAATTATTTGAAAAATCTAATTTCCTTCACTGGTGTAGTCCTAATGGATGCTACTTCAGTCTCAGCTATAGTACTTTGCCACTTAAAGACCTGATCTATATGGAAGTCATTAAGATCCCTATGGTACTTCTTGATTTTCCTACATTTCACCTCTTGATCACCTCTTGATCCACTTTTTCCAAGTCTTTATACAATCTATTAGTAAGATTAATGACTTCTGGATTATCCTTAAGAGGATCTAATTTACACTTAATATCAGAAATCAAGGTTTCCAGATGTTTCATTTTCTTTTGTTTCCTCTTAAGGAGGAATTTAACCAATTCCAGACCTCTTTCTTGGAAAAAATTTCCATAGTCAGCCAGGAGCTAAGAATGTGATATCTAATGCAAGTAGTGATGTCTTTGCCCATACGGGATTAAGGAATAAATCCCTATTCAATCCTCAAGTAACTAATAATAATCAGTTAGAGGTTTTTAAGAAAATGGTTATTAGTGACATGAAAAAACTTGATCTTGGTAAAATGAGGCAAAATAAAGCATTATATATTGGACAGAAGCGACTGTCCAAAAGGGAAAATATAGTTATCAGACCTGCTGATAAAGGGGGGAGTATTGTGATACTCTCTAGGGAGTATTATGAAAAAGAATTGGAGTCACAATTAGGTGACACCAATACATATCTCCCCTTATCAAAAGATCCGACGAGTCAATTTAAAAAGGATCTCGTTGCATTAGTCAAAGAAAGGAAAGGACACTAAGGTACTGAATAAAAAAGAAGCATTATATCTGGTACCAGATGTATGTAGATTGCCAGTTATCTATACCCTACCGAAGATGCATAAAGATCCCTTGAATCCACCAGGGCGACCCATCGTCAATGGGATACAATCAGTAATGTCTAGGATGGGTCAATATATTGATACCTTCCTCCAACCCCTCGTTATACAAACTAAGGCCTACCTGAGAGACACGAAACACCTTATACAATTGTTAGATGGGATCCATATCAAGGATGGTATTTTGCTTGCGAGTGCAGATGTGTCTGCTTTATATACCGTCATTGATCATAAGGATGCTATGGACTCGGTGGGCTGGGTATTAGATCGTTTAGTGACCTTTTATGGCCACAGAGGAAATTTATTTTGGAAAGTTTGGATTACTGCCTCTCCCATAACTATTTCTGGTACAACAACCAGTTTTACAATCAAATGAAGGGAGTAGCTATGGGAGCCAGGTTTGCTCCCAGTGTGGCCAATCTTTTTATGGCCCACTGGGAGGAAGAGGCAGTGTATCGGAATCCCCCTAGACAATTGCTCCTTTACAAAAGGTTTATTGACGATGTTATTATCATCTGGGATGGATTGGAATCTGATTTATTATGTTTTCTAAATCAGTTAAATAGTAATGATAAATGCATTAAATTGTCATGGGAAATAAGTGGTATTTCCATTAATTATTTGGATTTATGCATCTCGGTGAAGGATAACAATCTGCATACTAAAACTTTTTTCAAAAAAGTAGATCGGAATGGATATATTCCACTAGACAGTTGTCATTTCCCTCCTTGGCTGATGAATATTCCGAAAGGACAGCTGGTCAGACTTAGAAGGAATTGCACAGATATCAAGGAATATTATGAGCAGGCCAATATTATGGAAGAGAGGTTCTACAGTAAAGGTTATTCCAGAGAAATGATTAAAAATAAAATCGTAGAAGTGGGAACAACGATGAGGAGTAATTTTCTTGTTGATAAACCCAAGACGGAAGATAAAAGGGATCACACGGCGATTATTCTGGATTTCACCACTAATTATAAACAGATAGAGAGTGTATTCAAACGTTATTGGCCCATTCTAATTACCGACCCTATTTTTTTCTAAACTATTACCGGCTACACCTAAATTCATATATAGGAAGGCCCCTTCTCTCAGGTCCAAATTGGTTCGTAGTGTACTGAACCCCCCTATAAAAAGTCCTAAGGCTACGTTTCTTGATCATAAAGGGTTTTTCCCGTGTAAGAACTGCTACACCTGTAGAGCCACCAGGGTTCTAATACTAGATTGAGTTCTTTTTCAGCCACTAGTAATGGTAGGTCCTTTCAAATAAGGACTTCATATCGTGTAGAACGGAGGGGGTTGTGTATGTTCTCCAATGTGGATGTGGCTTACAATACGTTGGAAGGACAAAAAAGACCTTTATGGGTCCGGTTGAGAGAACATGTCCAGAAGATAAAAAAGGGCTTTCCAAAACACTGTCTATCTAATCATTTCCGGCTTTATCATAATCAGGACCCCTCTGGTCTTAAATTCTGGGGAGTTGAGAAATATAAAAAACACTGGAGAGGGTCCCATAAAGTGAGATCTTTAAGCCAGATCGAATCAAAATATATTTTCCTTATGGATACATTTACTCCGATGGACTCAATATTGAGTTCGACTTGAACTGTTTTATCAGCGATCGATAACTTTTCCCATGAATATATTATGTGTGTTTAGTACTCGATATATAGAGTCTATGCAGGATTACAAAGGAGCGTTTTTTCAGTATTTTATTTAATATATATATGTTTTATATATATATATATTTTTTATATTTGATAGTGTATCTTATATGGGGCATTATTGATTATGCTCGTTTTTTATTCATTTTTACTCATTTTTATTAAATTTAATTATGCGTTTTTCTTTTTTCTTTATTCATACACATTTTTCACATATCAGTCCCTCTATGTGTTGTGTTTGGAGAGACATTGATGTGTAGTGCGTTTTTTATGGTGTATGGCTTCAATGGGTTTGCCAGACCTAATTGTTTAAGGTTGGTCTCTAACAGACTTCATTTATATGGCCGCCGGGGTTCCTGTTTGGCATGTCGGACTATGAGAATATGGCCGCGATCGCACCGCCCATTGTGACCCTGGTGGGTGCGGTTTTCGGCCTTTATAAGGAAGTGCTGTCGGCCTATCACGCTGTCCTGATGAAGTCACGAGGTACGTGACGCAACGCGTCGACGGCAATAGCGTGGTGACGCATTTCCGGCGGGACGCCATCTTGGTGCACCTTTTTGATCCTGCTTACACCCAGCATTGCATCTCCATACAAGCCGTTTTTATGTAAGTGGATTACCTTCCTTTCTTTGTTTGCTGTTTTATACTCAAATAAAGCGGTAATACACTATGAGGATTGTGTTTATCTCCTCATTTATGGGCATATGAGCGGCTGTGATATCGGAGGAGAGTGCCTTCTATGCATCCACTGGCTTGGAGGAAATCTGTTCCTGTTCATTCATTCATCTTAAGAGTTCTTATTGGAGGATTTCGTGGTGATCTACATTACGCTTTATGGCCCTGTAGGGTCGTGGAGTGGAGGTGAGAGGCCACTGCAGCAAGACTGCCCGGGGTCACCTTTTTTGGAGTGTGCTGTGATTCACTTACACCCCTGTATGAACTATGGACACCTTAGCCTGCACCTAAACCACTTATCACCGTTATTAGTCTCATAAGGGCTATTGTCTTTTGTATCCCCAGGCGATCCTGGGTCATGTTATTATTATCTGGTCTCATTATATTTTGTCTTTAGTCTTTTTAGCGCTGCATCAACTTTATATTCTACAGTGTTGCATGACCGCGCAATTGTCATTCAAAGTGTGAAAGCTGAAAATTACCCTGGACAGGAAGGGGGGGAAAGTGTCCGGACTGGAAGGGGGGGAAAGTGTCCGGACAGGAAGGGGGGGAAAGTGTCCGGACAGGAAGGGGGGAAAGTGTCCGGACTGGAAGGGGGGGAAAGTGTCCGGACTGGAAGGGGGGGAAAGTGTCCGGACTGGAAGTGGTTAAAGGAAAACTCTCCAGCCTCCCCTCCAGTCTTGCACAGGTGTACCGGCTCCTCCCCTTCAATCATGCACAGGTGTAGTGGCTCCTCCCCTCCAGTCTTGCACAGGTGTACCGGCCCCTCCCCTTCAGTCTTGCACAGGTGTACCGTCTCCTCCCCTTCAGTCTTGCACAGGTGTACCGTCTCCTCCCCTTCAGTCTTGCACAGGTGTACCGTCTCCTCCCCTTCAGTCTTGCACAGGTGTAACAGCTCCTCCCCTTCAGCCTTGCACAGGTTTAACAGCTCCTCCCCTTCAGTCTTTCACAGGTTTACCGGCTCCTCCCCTTCAGCCTTACACAGGTGTACTGGCCCCTCCCCTTCAGTCTTGCACAGGTGTACCAGCTCCTCCCCTTCAGTCTTGCACAGGTGTAACAGCTCCTCCCTTTCAGTCTTGCACAGGTGTATCGGCTCCTCCCCTTCAGTCTTTCACAGGTGTACCGGCTCCTCCCCTTCAGTCTTGCACAGGTGTACTGGCCTCTCCCCTCCAGTCTTGCACAGGTGTCCCTGCAAAAAAAAATCGCTGATTCCAGCCTATGTGTGCACAGACACCCAGGATAACATGCTGGGGGGGGGGGTTACTGGTTGTAGAAAAAAAATGTCAAACGCCAAAAAAAAGCAGCTGTTAAAAAATGCCGTGTGCGAGGGCTAAAAACCATTGAAAAGTAAAAGAGCGCGTTACCCGACATTTCATCACAGGCCATCAATTGGAGGACCCTGCTGTAGATCCCAGAATGGTCAGGATTGGAAAAGGGGGGAGGGGGAAGGATTTGGCGCGGTTGACGCAATCTCAGAATGGCGCATTGCTGACGCATCTCTGTCCTCTCTCCTGTACAGGTGGTTACGCAAACAGTTCGAGGCGATGGACAGGGGACGGGACGGCAGGTAACCTCTTCATTATTTCATAGGATCGGTGGAGGGTCGTAGTTTTCCCCAAAAAATAGTCTGAATAGCTGCATTTGAGGGGCTGGGAAGAAGGGAAGACAGTGGGGGTCTAATAGACCCCCCATTGTCCCCAGACAAGAGTACCTGTCACACACCTATGACCCACGGTGATAGCAATACATTTTAATAAAAAATATAAAAATAAAAAAAAAATTTAAAGCAGCCCATCACCCCCCCCCCCAAAAAAAAACACACACACCTCCCTATATAAAAAGAGCAGCGCAGGGCGAGCTTGTGACCTGATTGGGGGGGGGGGGGTTACACACGATTCAGTGGCTGCAGCTGCCAGGATTGTGTGTAATACTGACAGGCAGACTCCTGGAAGCAGTCAGCTGGCTGCGCCTGATTGAAGTGGTGCCCCCCCCATGTGTGTGCGCTCCCGCCATGTATTCTGGTCTCTGCTTGCCCATTTGCAGGCCCGACAAGGCCGGGGAGTGGAGGGGGGGGTGAGAGGAGCGCGGACGCTCTCCTCCCCTTCTTGCTGTGATTCGGAAAGCGACGCGCGTGACGTCACGTCCAGGTCACCGATGTCACCGATCTGCATTGCAGTACATCCAGTGGTGCCCAGAGGAGAAATTGCACCCGTCATCTAAAAATCATCAGTGGGACTTTCTGTCCTCTATGTGATGAAAAAAAAAAAAAAGTTACGTAAAAAAAAAATTTTTATTTGCAAAAAAAATTTTTTTTTTTTGCAAAAAAAAGTTTAGTTTTTTTTTTCTATTATTTTTTTTGCAAAAAAAAATAAAGTTACGCCCAAGCACACAACGTCCCCACCCCCCCCCCCCAGAAATAAATTGTGAGCCCCCCCACCCCCCCCCCCCACCTATACGCACATTTGAACGTGAATGCAAGCGCGCAAGGGGCGCCTAAGTGTGAAAATGTTGATTGGGATACACGTTAGATATCGTCGTGCGCACCGTGAGTGAGAGCGACAATTCCAGCACCAGACCTCCTCCGGAACACTGAACTGATGACTATAAGTGGCTTTTGAAGAGTTGCCTATAGAAAATATTGGGTGCTGAAGTTTGCTGCCCTTTCACACGTGCACACAAATGTAAGATTTGACACGTTGGGTCAGGGGCGGACCTACAACTCATGGGGCCCCCGGGCAATAGGGGATCATGGGGCCCCTGTGTCCTTGCCCAAACTCAAAAAAGCCTATGAAAAAAGGTAGCAGGGGCATCTCATGGGGACCCCTACTGACCCTGGGCCCTCGGGCAGTGCCCGAGTTTGCAAATGGTCAGTCCGCCCCTGCGTTGGGTATCTATTTACTTGGCGCAACCTCGTCTTTTATATATTCTGAAAATGTGGCTAATTTATTGCTTTTGTTTGGCCTAAAATGTATTTTGGTGTAAGGAAGGAGTAGAACCTCTGTTAGTAGAGAAGGGGTAGAACCTCTGTCAGTAGGGAAGGGGTAGAACCTCTGTCAGTAGGGAAGGGGTATAACCTCTGTTAGTAGGGAAGGAGTAGAATTTCTCTCAGTAGGGAAGAGGTAGAACCTCTCTCAGTAGGAAAGGGGTGGAACCTCTGTCAGTAGGGAAGGGGTGGAACCTCTGTCAGTAGGGAAGGGGTGGAACCTCTGTCAGTAGAGAAGGGGTGGAGCCTCTGATAGTAGGGAAGAAGTAGAATCTCTGTTAGTAGGGAAGGCATAGAACCTCTCTCAGTAAGGAAGAGGTAGAACCTCTGTCAGTAGGGAAGGGGTAGAACTTCTGTCAGTAGGGAAGGGGTAGAACCTCTGTTAGTAGGGAAGGGGTAGAACCTCTGTTAGTAGGGAAGGCATAGAACCTCTCTCAGTAAGGAAGAGGTAGAACCTCTGTCAGTAGGGAAGGGGTAGAACTTCTGTCAGTAGGGAAGAGTTAGAACCTCTCTCAGTAGGTAAGGGGTAGAACCTCTGTTAGTAGGGAAGGCATAGAACCTCTCTCAGTAAGGAAGAGGTAGAACCTCTGTCAGGGAAGGGGCAGAACCTCTGTCAGTAGGGAAGGGGCAGAACCTCTGTCAGGGAAGGGGCAGAACCTCTGTCAGTAGGGAAGGGGCAGAACCTCTGTCAGTAGGGAAGGGGCAGAACCTCTGTCAGTAGGGAAGGGGCAGAACCTCTGTCAGTAGGGAAGGGGCAGAACCTCTGTCAGTAGGGAAAGGGGTAGAACCTCTGTCAGTAGGGAAGGGGTAGAACCTCTGTCAGTAGGGAAGGGGCAGAACCTCTGTTAGTGGGGAAGGGAATCAAACTCAAGTCAGCAGATTCCAGGTGACTTCAACGTTGGGGTGCCGTGCCGTGTGGAAGACAGTTCTGCGTTTCTCTGGACACAGTCGGTCCTCGGAGATGCGTTTGCATTGGAGGCAGAGCAGGTCCAGCGCAGCCCTCATGTTGTTGAACGCACGCGTCTGAACGTCTCTGCATACAAATGTAAAGTCCCTCAGCACTGAATGTTGCCTATTAGGAATTACATCGATGTGTACTCATCCCCCACCCCCACAGATGACACCCCCGCCGTATTACGGACGTAGCAGGAGTGGACACATCATCAGTCCCGCTCCATAAACAGGACGCCTGGCAGGAAGTGATAGGAGACTGGGACAGGAAGGGGAATGAGTCCCGCTCAGGAAATGGGGAGAGCTGGAGAGGAGAAGCTGATGGAAAGTTTGAGCTCAACTCCTACTCGGCTCCAAGTGCGGGGTGGGGGGGGGGGGTAAGCTGGCCGAGGATGAGCCCCCCCCCCCATGTTAAGGCATCTCGGAGAAGCTGCACCCCAGATGTGCTGAAGACGGCGTGTTCCCGGTCCGCAGAGTCAGCGCCACATGTGCGTCCGCGTGCCAAAGATCACAGATTTATCTAATAAGGCAGCGAGGGCGCACAGAGTGCAGCGACCCGCAGGGACCTCAATGCACCTTGGGGCTCATTCACATCAACCCAACGCAGTCCCAGTGCACAGACGCAGCACTGATGTCCCATGGCTTTGGTTCATCCCAACATGCCAACTGCCTTTTGTGTGCGCTGGAAAACGATAGGACGTGTGGCAGTTCTGCACACCAAAAAGCATCGCAACACCGCGCCGAACGCCGCGCTAAATGACATTTATATGAGGAAAAACATAAAGGAGGCGCTGCAATGCATTCTAACCAGCGCATGTGCATACCGCACACCTCAGTGCCTGCTGGGGGGGGGGGGGGGGGGGGTGACCCCGGAAACCATCCAACCCACATGGAAGAAAAATAGATTTGAAATATATTTTAATAACATTCTTCCCAAATATATTGACATACTGTACACTTGGAAAGCTACAATTTGGGCTGTATTCTATATATATATACACGTGTGTGCGTGTGTGCGTGTGTATATATATATATGCCTATACATATGGGTAGAACCTCTGGCAGTAGGGAAGGGGTGGAGCCTCTGTCAGTAGGGAAGGGGTGGAGCCTCTGTCAGTAGGGAAGGGGTGGAGCCTCTGTCAGTAGGGAAGGGATGGAATCATTGTCAGTAGGGAAGAGGTGGAGCCTCTGTCAGTAGGGCAGGGGTGGAGCCTCTGTCAGTAGGAAAGGTCTGGAATCTTTGTCAGTAGGGAAGGGGTGGAACCTCTGTCAGTAGGGAAGGGGTGGAACCAGTCAGTAGGGAAGGGGTGGAGCGTCTGTCAGTAGGGAAGGGATGGAATATTTGTCAGTAGGGAAGGGGTGGAGCCTCTGTCAGTAGGGAAGGGGTGGAACCTCTCGCAGTAGGGAAGGGGTAGAACCTCTGTCAGTAGGGAAGGGGTGGAACCTCTGTCAGTAGGGAAGGGGTGGAACCTCTGTCAGTAGGGAAGGGGTGGAAGCTCTGTCAGTAGGGAAGGGGTGGAACCTCTGTCATTAGGGAATGGGTGGAACCTCTGTCAGTAAGTAAGGGGTGGTACCTCTGTCAGTAGGGAAGAGGTGGAACCTATGTCAGTAGGGAAGGGGTGGTACCTCTGTCAGTAGCAATTGAGTAGTAAAACAAAAGTTATTGTTAAACGTGGAGCAATGGGATATTATACAGGAAATAACGGTTGATATTTGTGTTTCCAGCGTCTCCCTGAAGGATCTGAAGGCTTTCCTCCCCCAGGTGAACTATCGAGTGCCTAATATGAGGTTCCTGCGTGACAAACTGCAGGTGAGCGAGAACATGGCCGCTGTCTGTACAACGTAACAAATCAATGTAGTAGCCGGTTTCTTTCTATATGGGGTTTTTGTGAAGTCTCAGCTTACTAGACCAACCACTCAATGCCCTGATGCCCAACTTGCAGCTCAAGGACCACATGTGACCCTTTGGTACTTGTATGGCCATTCTACAGCCCTCAGGGACATTGGTTTGCAATTGGGGTAATAGCAGTGATCTCTACCGGACTCACATATCATGTCTTCAGGCTCTCCATGTCTTCTGCAGCATGTCCTCAGTCTCTCTGTGTCTTCTGCAGCATGTCCTCTGTCTCTCTGCGTCTTCTGCAGCATGTCCTCTGTCTCTCCGTGTCTTCTGCAGCATGTCCTCAGTCTCTCTATGTCTTCTGCAGCATGTCCTCAG